ATGCTCAAACAGCAACATTACAGACTAACTAAAGTTGAAAAAGTGAAAAAGCATAATAGGACCCCTTTAAGTACTTGTGGAAGAGGTGTATCCTTAGCTGCCGTTTTAAAGATGTGATTATTTGTTGAGGTGTCATTGTTTAAGTACCTGGGCACTGCTGTTGCGGGACAGAGCTTTATATATCTCATCAATGTTAGTGGCCACAGACTCAAAGCAGGCGTTGAAACGGTCAAATCTCTCCTTCTTTATCTGTTCAAACGCCTGCTTGGCTTTCTTCGCCCTCTTCCTGGCAGCTTCGAACTCTATGATGTTCAAACGTACAAAAAAGACAGTAAATGAACGTTAGGAATGCTGCAAACACAGACAAGCTGAGTGAGACAGAGTGACAAGTCCCACTCTACAAGGTTAAACTTTTAAAGGGATACTCAATAATGAAACTGTCCCATCATTTACTCACCTTCACGCCATTCCAAACCCGTTCTAAATCAGGTTTCATTGAAAATATGTTAATTTGTGTTTCGAAGTTAAACGGAAATCTTTGGAATGACATGGGGGTAAGTAAAGGACAGAATTTTAATTATTTTGTGAACTAACCCTTTAGTGCATCAAGTACACACATACTGAAGGGGAGATTTTTTTTTCTAAAAATCTTTTCATAAGAATTTATGTTGTGGGAGGGGAGACAATATCACATCATAGGCTGGTAATCGTGAGCAAAAGCATGTGACATGTTGACGGTGGTTGTAGTGTGGCTCAGTTGCACACTAGATATGCTACTATTGTCCTGCTTCTGCTCTGTAAATGTGCAGCTTAGGCACTGCCAGTTTCACTCAATCATCATAGCATGCTGCTAAATTTAATTAAGACTCTTAAAACAATTTTTGGGGTGAGATTTATTTTCTAAAAAAAAAATATATGATCGGCTTTTATTCTCATGCAAGTCATTTTTTTCACATAGGCTAGGAATGACTGACCGTCACTGGTCTCCTGGAATTTGTCTCTAACACTCTCTAGTTTCTCCATGGCTTTCATGTTGGGAGCACTGATCCTCTGCAGGATGCTCTGCTGCTCATTGAGTCTCTGAATCAATGTGTTCATCTCTGCCTTGATCTCCTCCTCTGACAGTGAGTCCTGCAAAGCATCAGTCACATCATATTCTCAACACACTATAACACTTATGATAGTGTAAACAGTAGTGTAATGATAGTGTAATGTGTAAACTGTAAACTGATGTACTTTTAGATCCTCTGACAAGCTGCTGTAGTCAATCTCGATAAGAGCTTCCTTGGCTAGGACGGTGCTAGATGTCTTCTGACTGCTGCTGAGGCTCTCCTCAGCCTGAGAACTGCCCTAAAACACAAACACAAGCAAGATGTTAGGTGGGCTTATGTAATACACTAGTAAAAAGCTTCAACACACCTACTTGTCTTTAAAAGGATTATTTTCCACTTTGTAGAATGACCATAAAACTTTATATTAAAAATGGTTTTATTCCATGAAAACTATAGAATGTGTTATTAAAATAATATTGTATAATAATTATGAAGTAAAATTTTTATTTAAAAAAAATCAAATCTTTTATATTTTAGACTCTTTGCCTGGGTTATATTTTTAACAAGAAATAAAGGGGGCGCACGTGCACAGATCATGGAGTAGTTGTCTTTTTCTGAGCTCCTCTCCATTAACATATTTTGAATATTTTTGTAATTTAAGTACCGTCAATTCACTAAACAGGCGATAATGATGTTACTTTGTCTTTGTCAGTTGTTTTGAGTACCAAGTGAAATTTAAGTGCGTGGAGTGCGATTTTCTTTATTTCGCTAACTCATCGTGTCTGAAAAATGGAGTCCAGGAAATCTTCAAAAACCATTGCAACTAAAGAGGATGCCGACCCAGGCGATTCTATCTCAAGGAAATGTGAATGCGATACTTGCCACAATTGGTGCCCAAGGGGATGATATGAAAAAACTGATGGAGGACAAGATGACAGCATTAAGTGCTCGCTTGGATGCGTTAAGACGCCACGCTGGTTAACTTGCAGTCAGAACAGGCCTGAGTTAAACAAAAAATAGTGGAAATAGAAGGGGCCCTGAACGGTACAGATTTATGCCTCGGAGAGTTTGAAAAGGTGTACGAAGGTTTGCGTGTGGAAAATATATCTCTCTGGACTAAACTGAATGACTTGGCTTGCTTAGTTGGGGACACTTCATTTCCAGCGATACCGTTGACTTGATTGCAAAGATACTATTTAAACTGAGCTGGATGTTGACATCACTGAATTCAATGATGAACTGTCTTTAACTGAAAAATTTGTGTTTACTATTGTCATTTTGCATTATTGACACACTATTTTCCTAATTAATGCTGTTCAGTTGCTTTGACACAATCTGTATTGTTAAAAGCGCTATATAAATAAAGGTGACTTGACTTGACTTGGAAGGACACTCTCGAAGGCTGAATCTAAAATTTGTGGGAATAAGCGAAGGAGAGGAGCGGGGGCATCCCATCCCTCTGTGTTCATTTCGGATTTGATTCCCGAACTTTTCGACCGAGACAACTTCCCCAAACCTGAGAAAATTGATCGAGCTCATCTGGCACTGTTATCAAAGCCGTCTAAAGCCAGAGACCTCGCACTATCATCGCACTGATCCACAATGATTGGGATAAAGACTTAATCCTCCGTCTGAGCCGGAAAAAGTTTCCTCTGGAATATAAAGGAAAGCGGATTCATATCTTCCCTGATTATACACCGGAGGTGACAGCACGGTGACGTGCCTTTAGCTCAGTCACAAAAGCTCTGCGGGAGGCTTGGCTGAAATGGTCCCTGCGTTTTCCAGCTAAATTTATGCTGCACCATAACGGTCACGAGCTCTGGTTTGAATCTCTGGAAGAGGCCAAGAAGTTTGTAGATAACTTGTCGAATGACTCAGCGTAGCTTCTGTGTATGACTTTACTCAGCTTGGCCTGAGTTTGGACCTCGACTGATAGAAGTGGACTATTTTTTTAAACATTCTGCTAACTCTCATTGTAGTAAGTGATTCAGGTTACTGATATTTATGTGGAGGAGAACAGACGTTTTTTTTTTTTACTCCTTGTGTGTTTTTCGCCATTTATGCTCTTTTGTTGGGCTAAGGTAAGCCAAGTTAATCTTTGCACCATGGGGAATACTTGCTACTTCGGTTCTTGGGGCAGCTGTGGGGAGTTCTTTATGTTTCTTGTTGCACAAGATAATGTGTATTCTTGCTTTGACTATTATTGATTCTGTGTTTGCTATGTTTTTAACTATGTTGTACGAGTAGTACCTTTACTAAGAGTAATAACAATGCTGTAGTAAATATTACGTTTGTCAGCTGGAATGTAAGAGGAATAGGGCACCCGAGGGGAAAGGTGTTTGCACATTTAAAGTCATTGTCGGCTGACATTATTTTTCTCCAGGAAACCATATTAGACCCAGTGAACAGATGCAGCTTAGGGCAAATTGCAGGGTTTGTACACATTTTTACCAATACATTTCCATGACTTTTGAAACAATATTCATGACCTAATGTTCCATTATTTTACAAGAATACATGTAAAATAAGAATAAAAATCTGTTCAAATGTATCATAGCATATGTTAACTAAAATTAATTACTATTAATGCTACTTACTTGCTTCGTATTTGTTAAAATAAGTGCAAGCTGCGACCGTGCCAGACGTTACTCCACGCAGAGAACATATCACATCACTGAATATTATAATTTATTTAACCAATATTATCAACTAAACTCAGGACCTGAATTTCATTTAGGGAACCGCTTAGGTCTAACAGTAGTATTCAGGTACAGAAATATACAGAAATTGAATAAACTGTAAATTAAAAACAGATTAATCATTAAAATTAAAGTTGCAAATGTTTAGTTGCAAATGTTTAGTCAAGAGAGTGATTTATTTTTTATTTTTTTGATTAACATACTGACAGACTGCACAGCTTTATTAGGCTGCTGTTCCTTTAAGACCGACTGAATGGATCCAATATACTGATACATTTACATTTAGTCGTTTAGCAGACACTTTTATCCAAAGCGACTAACAAATGAGGACAATAAATACAATAATGATACACAACGGTTTTCTTTCTCAACAACTGCTTACATCATGCCTGTCAACATTTGGGTACCAAGATCTGGGCGATGAGAGGATGAAAGAGAGAAGACGCGGTACCGCTGAATCACTCGTGCTGTTTTCATGTGACTGATTCGATCTGATGTTCTGTGTGGATTTATTAACTCATCTAACTTACATGCTCTATTAAATAAATGTTGGGGGGAATTTCACACATTATAAATGCGAAACCTGCGGGAATAAGTAAAACTATGCGATGCGCGATCTGATTAAAAATATATTCTGTTGCACAGAGATTTGTGAAATAAATTTCCATTACTTTTCCAGAACTTTCTGGGTTTATTCATTTTTCCAAAACTTTTCCAGGCCTGAAAATTGCCGTTTTAAAATTCCATGACCTTTCCAGGTTTTTCATTACAGTACGAACCCTGAAATTTGATTTCACAAGTCTATCAAGCCACTTTTTCCTCTAAAAGAGGTGTGGCTATACTTTTTAGGAATTCCTTTTCGAATGCACTCAGTAGCGACCCTGCAGGAAGCTATATTATCGTATCCGGACTTATTAATAATTTCCCGATCACGTGTGTTAATTTGTATGGGCCAAATATAGATGATTCTGTTTTTTTTTTAGGAAATTATTTGGGCTTATTCCCGATTCTAACTCGACCATTTTGATAATTGCTGGAGACTTTAATTGCTATTTGGATCCTCATCTCGATCGTCTCTCTTCACAAGTTCCTCCTACTATTTAGTCTGTAGATGTTTTAAATTATTTGATCAAATTAGGGGTGCTCCGATCAGGATTTTTGAGGCCGATCACAGGAAGCAGTATCTGCCGATACCGATCTTTTAAAGCCTTCTTTTTATCATTTAGAATTATTTATAGTGATACTCCAATCAGGATTTTTAGACATTTACTCAGGGCCTTAGTTTCATTAATGAAAATAGGGGGAATTCCCCTCTTAGGTGACTCTTGTTGGGGGGATTTTTTAATTTGAGGGGTGGAGGGGGCATTTTTTTTATATTTTTCAAATATATATATTTATCTTACCTAAATGTTTGACCATGCAGTGCATTTTTGTTTTTACAATTGTGCAATTGTTGCACAATAGCTTACACACAGCACAAGCCTGATTTTGTGAGCTGTATGTGAGGCGGCCTTTTACACCAGGTTCACACATACTCCGTTTGCAGTGCATATGCAGTCCATGTGTGGTACGTAAGCAGTGCAGAAGCAGCACTGACTGCTTTCACACAGGAATGTGCTTCTGATCCGTGCTGTTTACCACAAACCCAACATTTATCCATTATTTTGTGATCTGTATGTGAGGCGGCCTTTTACACCAGGTTCACACATACTCCGTTTGCAGTGCATATGCAGTCCATGTGTGGTACGTAAGCAGTGCAGAAGCAGCACTGACTGCTTTCACACAGGAATGTGCTTCTGATCCGTGCTGTTTACCACAAACACAACATTTATCCATTATTTTGATTTCAAATCCAAACATTGTTAGTGAATTTGCTTTTTCAGCATTGTGATTCTTTTTTTACACAGTACAGCAATACAATCTATTAAGTGCACGAGTGCATCTATTATTGCTTATGTAAAAGTGCTCTTTTCCTTTAAACCTAGCCAAAAAGTCATATGTGCTGACTGTGAAACACAGTAGACTTTCATCATGTGCATTTATGGTGTAATTACTAAATTTTCGTGTCAATCCAAGTTCATATTTACCGCAAACAATGCGCTGTCACTTTAATTCAGCGCGTGCGGCAGACTCTGTGCGGAAACGATCTCTGCACTGCTGCAGACGCACCGCTACCGTGCAGTGAACGCTTTATAAACCAGGTTTATATCTGAGTGCGTGCGTCCGGTTTTGTGCGAGAGCAAAGGAAATCCACGTGCAAGCGGGGAGATTCGCGCTCGCGCATTATATTAATCTACCTTCGCGCTACAACAATGCACTCTCGACATTTGTCAGTAAAATAACGCCATATTTAATCCGTTAACATGAGCGCGGAAAAAAATACGTGCTGCAAACGGAGTATGTGTGAACCTGGCGTTATGTGTGTGCGCTGCGAGTGTGCATGCCATGAGCGAGCGCACAGTCTCCAGGAGAGCGCGTGAGTGCTGAGTGGTTAAACTCAAGAATTAAAAAGAAATACAATTTATAAACTTTAATGATGATGCGACACTGCCACTGACACTTTTGTGCTAAAGTGATAATTCCTGTGTCAACTGTGCAG